TCCTGTCAATCAGCGGATGATAAACTGGGGGTTGGAGGCTCTGAAAGCGTTCATGGTGACACCAACAGGAGCACCATACATGATGAGCATTTGAAAACTTAATAACTTTCTGTAGATTATTGTGGCAAATTCATCACATTAAACCACAACGCGACCAATGTATACCACTATTAACTGTTGATGTAGGAGGCAAGTTGTCGCCATCTAGTGGAGGGAATTATGCCCAAATATGCGTCATTTCGCATAAATTAATCTTCATATGTGTCCTTTAGGTTCCCCTGCGACGGACTGGTCACCTGTCCAGGGTGTACCCCGTTTCTCGCCCACTGACCGCTGAAGATGGGCACCAGCAGACCTCATGACACCAATGGGGATGAGAGTATAATGGACGGATTCATGCATGTGTTCTTTCGATGGATCTGTACCTAATTAAAATTAGCGTGACAAAAGAGAAAAGTATTGTATATAAAACTGGAAAAAATCAAATCAAATCGGGGCAATGAGATAGAATGTGTTGATTTGAGACTTTGTTCAGTTTTAAAAACATTTCATGTAATTAGTAATTCCTTTATTATTTAAATTTAAATAAGGCAATAATAATAATAATAATAATAATAATAATAATAATAATAATAATAATAAAGAAGTTATGTGTAGTTACAGATACAAGCAGTATAGTTTGATTTGAGTGTTTATTTGAAACAGATTTTTTTCTTTTCGAGGTCCACTCAGCACTCAACTATTTTCTTTCCCAGATCAGCTTCATCTTATTTCACATTTTGAACATCAGCTTTTTTATTTGAATATCTTTATGCATTTTACAGGTCTTATTGGTCATAATAACAAAGGCTTCATCCCGTTAATTTTCATCACGCTGGAGGTGGCACTTCATATATTACATACTTCAAGGAACAAATTTTCATTTACATTATATTTGGTCAGATGTGAAAAATGCTGAACTATATTTGAAAATAAAAGTGTTTCTTGTGAAGAGACAGTAATTGTTTGCATTCACTGAATAATTAGTTAAGAGTTTAATTAATTGAATAGTCTTTAGGTGAAGCTTTAAATTGTGTCTTTGGAACAACGAGCTGCAGAACAAGTATGAGGTTTTTGATTCTAACCTGAAAGCAGGAGTCGGGGAAGTAGTAAGGGTTCATTATCTGATTTGTTAGATTGTTCTACAACACAACCCCAGGAAGAAAATATCGTGAATTTAAACAAAGCACCAATAAGCAATAATCCGAACGGAGATGCTTTTAAAATTCGGTACAAATGCGTATCCATCATGTTCATGAATTGATTTATAGTTTGTCATTTAAAAACCTTGCTGCTGGACTTTATATTCATATGGGTTTTAAATCTAAACCCATATCAGTCTTTAAGTCTCTGGTTTAGATGTTTCATTTGCGGCGCTTATTTGCGCAAAACCCGAAGATTTAATCCCTGAGATCTGAAGAGAGTTTTTCTCCGTTTCTCGCTCAGCTAACGAGTGACCAGCAGGTTGACCAGGCTGTCAGATTTTCCCCCCGTGGGTTCCTTCACCCACTAAAGCCGACCCACATCCACGCATGCTGAGCAGCAGCTTCTACCAGAACAGAGAGCCTCACATACCCGCTCCGCCTGTGTTTGGCCGCCTGGCTGTCTCTGATGGCCGGGCTGCTGCAGAGGAGGTCCGGATGTTGGCCGTCGATGACCTCCAGGTAATTTCTGCTGCTCATTTCCACTTCCTTCGCCTTCTCCTCAAACAGGACCTGACTGCTCAGCTTGTTAAACACAACGGTGTCCATCTTTGTCGGCTCTGTCCGCAGATCTCTCTGCTGCGCTCAAATCCAAAAGGTTCGTGGAGGGAAAGTGTCCCCGCGTCTCTCCTGCGGAAGAATAGATGACATTTAGTTTGAGGATCATATGAACTAAATCCTTCATCTAAACTCCTCCACATCCAGCAGCTTCAGAGTTAAAGGCGAGCGGAGCCGCGGCGCTCTGACTCCACTTCAGAGTCTCTTTGGAAACAATCACAACCTGTTTGCTTCATTCAGAGTCTCCTCCCGCTTCTAACGCGGAGAGGCGCTTCTTTCTGCGCACTTTCATTGCGCATTAATTAGCACAATCAGCTAAGAAATAAATCCGGGATGAGTCGGTGCGGACAGCGGAACAGTTACTGGTTCTAGATCCACTTTCCCGCTGCGCTGTGGGGAAAAACCCACGGAGAGACACGCTGACTGTGGATGGTGCAAAACTCATTTATTCTACAGGAAGAAATTCATAAGAATTCTGTTAAAGCGACTCTAAACTACAGTTTGAAGCAAATGAACCGACTTCCTGCTTCAGAAACGACCTGCTCTTTCTTTCTCTGCAGCTTCATCACCATCAGCTGATCTGTCTCGGACGCGGATCCATCAGCAGCAGCTTCGTGGAAAACAGCTGGAATAGTTCCTTGACATCAACTACAGTGATGCTGGCAGTAATGTGACTGATTCAAAGTCGGGCTGAAGCAGCTGGAGCTGCGCCTTCAGAACATCTGAACCTGTCCTTTCATTCAACAAGTGAGTGGATCTGTGGCAGTTACCTTCCCCGGCTCCCTCCTGCGTCTCTCGGCTGTGCTGAACAATAATCCCGCTCCCAGCCGCCCATGCCCCGCTCACATGTTCCCCGCCTGAGTTTCTGAGCTCCAACCACACGGACCGCCGTCTCCTCCTCTGGTTTTATCCGGCGGCCCGGGACTCTGAATATCTGCGCCTGCTCATGTTTCCTTGCACAGAGGCTGAGCCTGCGAACATCCTGCTGCTGCTTTAGGCCGGTTCAGGGGCAGCGGCCCCCAGAGGGAAGGAGAGGGAGGCGGGCATGAGTCTGAAAGAAGCAGGCTGTCTGTCTGAGCCACTGAGCTCGAAGGTACTGAGGATTAGAGATCCAATGGACAAATAATGTCTGTTTAGGAGCTGCTGGCTGCTGCTGATGGAGATGAATTTATGATGTCAAAAGGTTGAATAGATTTGAGCTGCTAAAGATTCATGGTTTGATTTGTTTGGTCCGGAAGCTGAAGGACAGAGCAACTTAAAACTTTCACAAATGAAAAAGAGAAAACAGCAGCTGTAACTGAATCTGCATTTCTTGTTCCTGTTTATGTTAGCTAGCATTAGCACTGTAGCTCAGCCAGCTGCTGCAGGAGTTTAGAAAAGTTAGAGTTTAAAACTACATTTCTCTAAATCAAATCCAGTTTCAGTGAAAATAGCAAGTTTGTTTGGTAGTCTTCATTATCAATGTTGCTGAGGATGTTGCTTCCTCGGCAACATTGCTGATCCTAATCACTAACAATTATCAGGATTGTTATTCTGATAATTATTAGTAATTATCAGGATAATTGTATTTGTTTAGTTATATCCATAAACAAA